ATAGAACAAAAAATTTGCAGATTTTCAAATTCACCTTATGCGGCACCTATGTTTGTAGTACAACAATTATTTCATGAAACAACAAAATATAGACCAGTGGTAGATTATTCAAAAACCATTAATCCCATAACAATTTTAGATACTCAACCTATAGAAAGAATGGAAGACATTATAAACACAGTTTCACAATATATATATAAATTTAAATTAGATATTTACCATGCTTATCATAATATATGTATCAAAGAAGAAGACATTTATAAAACAGCTGTTATAACACAAGACTATCATATTGAATTTATGAGAGTAATGTTTGGGTTGGTCGGAGGCCCATCAATTATGTCAAAGGTAGTAAAGTCAACATACGGTAATTTATATGATAAAGGCGTGAGAGCTTACTTTGACGATATTACAGGAGGACAAAATTCAATTGAAGACTTTATAAAATTGTTGAAAAAAGTATTTGAAGCAACCAGACAGAAAAATTTAAAATTAAATAAAGAAAAATGTATATTTTTAGCAAATGAAATACCATTGTTTGGAAAGTTAGTTGGTTATAAAGAAGAAAGAACAGACCCAAAAAGAATTGCAGCAATAGAACAATATAAGACATTATCCACGCTTAGAGAAATTCGTTCATTTCTAGGATTTACAGGAGCTTTCAGAAAATATATAAGAAATTATGCACATATAGCAAGACCATTACAAAATACATTAAAGAAAAATCAAGTAGAAGATAAAGTAAAACAACAGTATAAGAAAAATATTATTTTATCAGAGCAACAACAAAAGTCATTTGAAATGTTAAAGAATTTATTAATTTCAGCACCAATATTAGCAAATTTTCAGCAAGAAGCAGAAACAATTGTGGAGACGGATAGCAGTTATCAAGGATTAGGTGCATGTTTGTTACAAATACATAATGGTGAAAAGAAGGTTATTGAATATGCCAGCAGATGTCTAAAAGATGCAGAAACAAGATATCACATAAATGAATTAGAAGTTACTGCCGTACATTGGGCAATTGTAAGTAAATTTCGTATATATTTATTAGGAATTAAATTTCAATTAGTCACAGACAGTTACTCAACAGCATACATAATAGACAGAGCTAAAATAAATAGAAAATTTGCAAGATATGTAATTGATTTAGCACCATTTGATTTTACACCAGTGCATAGACCAGGAAAACAAAATGTAATTGCAGATCACTTATCCAGATATCCATTGAATGAGATTTGTATGTCAGTTATCAGCAGTAATATAGAAAAATTAAAGTTAGCACAAAGTAAAGATCAATTTATTCAACAAATATGTAAGAAATTAATGAAGGAACCCACATCGCATCATTTAAAACAAATACATAGTACATTTAGATTATCAGAGGGAATTTTACTACATTTAAATATACAAGAGTTATTTGATAATCAGAAAATTGTAGTACCGCAGAGTTTAAGAGAAAATATAATAAAAATTGCACATGATGATAATGGCCATTTAGATTTCAGCACTACTCTAGCAAAAATTAAAACGAAATATTGGTGGAGATCGATGAGAAAAGATATCAAATCATATGTATCAGCATGTATAATTTGTGCACAAATCAACAGGCGTACAAAGTTTGCTTATGGAAAATTAGGTAAAAGGCCAATACCACAAACACCAATGCAAGTTATATCCTCAGATCACATTGTTTCATTACCACAGACAGAATCAGGTAATACATATATATTTGTTCATATAGACCATGCCACGAGATATATTTTTGCCAAACCATGCTATTCATTATCAGCACAAAGTGTAATAGACACTATTGAAAATGATATAATTTATGTATATGGACCACCACAGACCTATATATCTGATAGCGCACCATGTTTCACTAGTCAAGCAACACAGAAGTTTTTTAATAAATTTGGAATAGAACATATACCAACAACTCCATATACAGCTCAAAGTAATGGATTAGTAGAAAGGGCAAATGCCACAATAATGTCAACATTAACAAAATTTTCTATGGAAAATGCTAAAGATTGGGATTTATTATTACCAAAAGCTATATTAGCCATTAACATTTGTAAACAAAAAACTACAAGATATTCGCCATTTTACTTAATGTTTGGATTTGAACCAAGAATTCCACCGAAAGAGATACATTTTGGAACAATATTTGAAGACATAAATAGAACACATCAATTGGATTTATTATTTCAAGCTAGAGAACAATCATTACTGAACATAAATAATGTACATGAATATAATAAAAATAGATTTGATTTAAGAAGATTAGACCATAATTTCAAAGAAGGCGAATATGTTTTATATGAATGGATCAAACCATCTGACAACAAGTTAACTCCAAGATATAAAGGACCGTTTATAATCAAGAGAAAGGTTGGTTCAGTTTGCTATGAAATACAAGATGTATGGAAGCCATCAGTCAAGAAGATAGTACATGTTCAGTTCCTTAAACCCATGTCCCCTTCCCCTAATTTAAATTCTTTTACAGATACACAAAATAATACACCTTTTGATGACAATATAAGCCAGAATCATGAGCAAAGCCAAAATGATGACAACAATCAAGGATAAGAAATTTAAGAGGTGTTACAGCATTACCTATACAATGTATGTAAACAAGTAAATATTATAGGAAAATAGGTTTATAATAAGTTTTTTTTTTTAATGAACTTAAAGTAGTATATATGCATGATAATAATATATTTGTTAAACAGTAAATTCATATATATATTTCAGTTATACCTTGTTATTTAAAGAACATAAAATGTCACAAAAAAAAAAATTAAATGTATAAGTTACATAGAAGTAAATAATTATTATAAGATAGTAAACATTGTTGTAAAACAAAAAAAGAAAAAGTGCTAGGTAATTAAAGTAAATCAATAAGTTATTAAGCTTAAGATTAATTGTTTACAATAAGTCCTTGTAACAATTAAATTTCTTTTGTTGAGATCTTTTTGATTGTTAATTAAAATGATAGATAAGTATATAAAAGTTATAAGTTAGTAGTTTAAAATATTACATGTTAAAATATTGTATACATAACTATAATGCTACAAAATTATAATATTAAAAAGAATAGATAAAAATGAAACCAAAAATTGTAAATTCAAAACTTTTATTATTCAATAAAACAATAAGTACAAGAACAACATCATGTAATGTAAACAGTAGTAGTAAAATAGTATAAAAATAATGTGAATTAAAAAGTATAAAGGCATGTAAGGTTATAGAATGAGTGTGAAATTAAAATTTGTTAAAAATTAAAAAATTGTTAATTTCAAAGGGCATGTAAGGTTAAAATCTAATTTATGTAATTCTGAACGTAACTTTTATGAAAGAGATGATGAATGTTAAGTGCGTAAGAGTAAAAGAGTAAAAAGATAATAGCAGAATGTTTGGTTGTGTGAGAGCGAGATGTTAAATATGTACCCTAGGAGTAAGAGGGACGGATAATAAAGATCATTATGGCCGGATCTCAGTCTTTCATTTACACCTGTATGGCCTCCTACCACTGATTCTTCTGAAATGGAGAAATGCGGCAGTGATGGCATACGTAACGTATCTGAGGGGCCACTCACCGCAGGTTCTCCACTATCTTCAACGAAAGACGAGGTGGGAACCTCTTCGTTCTTTTTACTTCGAGTTTGAACCATTTTTTTTTGCAGAAAGGACTACTATGAAAAGATTCGACTGTAAAGGATACGCTGGTTCGGTTCAGACTCAATATATTTTCCATAAAAAACAAAATACGTCAAAAACCATAAAGAAAAAGTACAATAAAAAAGTAAAAGATATACAAGAAGTGTGCTGTCCTGCACACACCTAGTGTTTATATAAGTTACACGATTTTAGACATTAATTTAAAGGCTTATAGGCCATAATTGCATGCACGTGTCATGCTTACCTATTTTTTTTCTTCATTTCACAATTTTCGACTTTATTTTTAACCAATGTCAGATTTCATAATCAGTTAGGTGCAAGTTTACAAAAACTATGTTTATGTCTATAATATATTTACTAGTTATAAATTTACTCATTTAAATTTACCACTAATTACGTGATACTACTAATACTAGGTGAGTTGAGGCATATTTACTAGAACAGATTCACGTATTAAGTACATATATTACTAGGCAAAATATTTAATCCACGAAGTATTTCTTTAAATCGCACGATTTTCTACCCTGCCCTAAAACATTAGAAATTATATTGGCATGTATGCTTATACGTTCGCCAGTATCTAGTCCATACTATGTGAAGTGAGGCGTATTTACTAGAACTGATTCACGTGCTAAGTATATCACAATACTAGGCAAAATAATATATCTACCTATTATTTTTGAAAATCACACGTTTTTCCGCCGTTCGTTAAAATATTAGAGACCATATTTGTATTTACCTGTCATTCCCATCTATTATATTTAGTATTTTAGTATTTATCCTATCTAGTATGTTTCTCCATATCATAATATTCGACTTTAACACAACGAAGTAAAGTTTTAACAGTTAGGTAACTACAATAACTAATAAATAACAGAAAGATAAGATATTTGGATCAAGTATTATATAATACTAGGAATAGGTACACCTAGTATCAAATTTACTTAGTATAACAAAACTCTATGATTTAGGAATTTTCCCATAGTAAGAATAATTAAAGAAGGAATTTCCATATTCCATAATAGGCATTATATTCTATTTTCGGTTACTTTCCTAATGTAATTAATAATAACATTCATATATTTTTTTATAATTACATTAATAATTACATTGGGATACTGAATTTAATTTCAAAATAAATTAATTATTGTTACACAATTCAAGAAGTGTTAATTATAATCATATCATGATATTAGGAACACAAAATTATATATGTATTTATTTATTTACCAAATGACTGTAACAGTATTATATGAGGCCGAAGATAAGAACTTGCTATAAATAAGAATATTTTTTTACAAATTCTTAGTATCGACGCTATCATGGCGCTGTTTGCAAGTCTAACGCTTTTAGTTATATTAATTAGTATATTCTTTTTATATTACAAGAAAAAATACAGCTATTGGAGTAATAAAGGTGTGAAAGGTCCAACGCCATGGCCTGTTGTTGGTAATTTTGGAAATATAATTTTGCAAAAGGAATCCCTTGATATGTGTATACGAAGAATCTATTCAAAATTTAGAGCAGAAAAACTTGTTGGCATTTACGCCGGATATAAGCCAACATTATTGGTTAAAGATCCTGAATTAGTAAAATGCGTTCTAATAAAAGACTTTGATGTTTTCAATGAAAGAGGATTTAGTTCAAGTAAGAGTCGACTTAGTATTAATTTATTTAGTGCGGACGGCGAAAAATGGAGAATAATGAGACAAAAATTAACACCCGTGTTTACGACAAAGAAACTTAGAGAAATGATACCGACTATACAAAATTGCGTTAAAGATTTCTTACTGTACGTAGAAAATTTAGTCGATAAAAACATTGATTATGAAATAAGAGCATTAGCGGGTAAATACACTTTAGAAGTTATAGGATCGTGTGCTTTTGGATTGGATCTGCATACTTTTACAGAAGAAGAAAACGAATTTAGTAAAATGGCAAAGAAAATTTTTAATCCAAGTACTAAGTTAAAAATTTTGAACTTAATTGATTTGATATTTCCTGGCATAAGGAGGAATTTTGTGTCAAGCACTGAAAGACAAGAGTTTTTTGTCAACCTCGTTCGTGAAATCCAAAAAGAAAGGGAAGGAAAACCTCTTAAACATAAAGACTTCATGGATCTAATGATTGAGTTAAAAGAACAAGGAAAGGCTAGCAGGAAGTTAGAGGACGGTATTGCTGAAATAGAAATTGACGATTATATGATAGCGGCACAGGCACTCGTGTTTTATTCTGCTGGTTTTGAGACATCTGCAGCCACAATGTCTTTTTTGATTCATGAAATGGCATTAAACTTGGACATCCAAGATCGAGTTTATAAGGAAATTTGTGAAGTAGTAGATAAACACAACGGAGATATTAATTATGATGCTATCAAAAATATGAAATATTTAGAAATGGTGATGAACGAAACGTCGAGGAAGCATTCTATTGCAACTGTATTCCTACGTAGATCTACTTCAACATACACATTCCCTGGAACTAATGTGACAATTCCGAAAGGAACTTCTATTATGATACCAGCTAGTGGATTGCATAAGGATCCTAAGTACTTTCCCAATCCTGATAAATTTGACCCAGAAAGATTTGCACCTGGAAAATTAATTAGTAGTATACCACAATGTGCATTTTTGCCTTTTGGTGAAGGCCCTCGCATCTGTATAGGTAAGATTAAGTAATTTATTATTTTAAACAGGAAAAGTACTTAATTGAACTGTTTTTGTATACACAGCAAGTTATAAAAATCTGTCTAATTTATCTATTTGATTTTAAACCGTAATACATTGGGGCTAAAGTCAAACTCAACTGCGGAAAATTGAGATTTTGTAATAATCATACTTATTAATAATTGTTATTGTACCTATGTTCCTCAATTTAGAACCAATTCTGATGACACATTTTCGTTTGTGAGGATATAGGTATACCCAGAAATTCTAAGTTTCATTAAAGTCATAAATATTTCCAGTTAGTTTATTAACTGTTTTACCGCAACTTTAAATTATTAGCTATGTCACCCACACTGAAAATCAAATCATAGTAGCTTCCAATAGGTGAAAGATTTTTTAAATCGGTCTAGTATTTTCGGAGCCTATTGAGTGCGAGCAAACAAACTTTATAATATTAGAATAGATGAATACTAACTGCATCAATTTAGATAATATTGCAAGGCTGCCTTTGTAATTTTATAAAAATATAAGATTAAATATAAACAAAATAATTGTTAAAATGTAAAATTAATCGTTAATCACACAAATAATCTTTATTTGTAATGATCTACTGTTGTCAGAAGGATTTTGCAAATACAGATAATATTTGTAGATCTCCACCAGACTGATAAGTAATTGATTACAATAATGAATAGGCATTAAAATGTTAGAATAAATATGTTACCTAACTCAATATATTAGGTGCATCACTGTACTTATGTATCTGATTATCGTCTTTTGTCGTCCCCATCACAGCGCCTTCGCTATGTATGGAAGCAAATAGGGAGAATGAACTATTGCTGGCGACTATCTGGAAATACACCATCGTTTTTGATCAGTTTACTTGTCGTATTTTTATATTTCTGCTTTTACTCTTAGTTACTTTCCTTATTGTCAATTGTCGGTTCCTATATTATTATTTTGCTGTGATCTATTATTTATTATTATATAGTGTATATCGTTTATTCATTCCCAGTAGTCCTCATTCCCAATAGCTATCAGCCATTAACAACCACGCAGGTTGGTGGTGTTACCGGCTGCAGAGGCAACCCCTAACCAATGGCTTTATGTGCCTTTTAAAACAAAGAAGAGGTCGAGACAATACATTTTAGTCACCTATCCTATGGCCGCCTCCTGCAAAAAATAATCCTAAAGCCTAATCTCCATATTGCATACCGAATGCACTGGCTACTTTCATGGTATCTTTTTTTAATCTAAATTGATTTATATTTTTGTCCACAGGTATGCGATTTGCTAAAGTACAAACTTTGTTAGGGACGGCTGCGTTCCTGAAAAAATTCAAAGTAGAACCATCCTCGAAGACCAAATCCGAATTGATTCTGGATCCAAAAGCAGTTGTTGTGAGTGCCAAAAACGGAATATGGGTGAAAATTTCTAAGAGATAGATGTCCTATATAATTTTTTTGGGTTTTATATTAGATCAATCTGTATAAATATATAATAATTGTAACCGAAAGAAAAGTTTTTTTTTTTTGAAGGAACATGTGAATGACACGCTGCACATAAAGATTCCGTATCTACCATAACATAATTGCAAAATAAATTATTGTTTACTCAGAGAAAGTTTCATCGCATATTATCATCTTGTCTTCTACTTAAATTCAACGATTTACCTATTATAACTAGGAACTACCTCTCTATTTAATTTTGCTTTTTGAATGTGCATGTCACACATTTGTTTGATATAATTAGTTGGAACTTTGGGAATCAAAAATACTATAATTTTAACATTCAGAATTATTGAATACCCCTATTCCACATATCCCTACTGAAAAATCCCCACATATTAGAGTGTCACAAAAATTAAACGCCTAATGAATGTCACTCAATATGAATATAATGGCTGATTTGTAACTCGCCCAAAGGAACATAATTAACCTAGCTATTCTAAAAGGAAACGCAAAATCTAAAATACACTTCTTGCTTACAAACTTTGAGTTGAGAATGTGTGAGCTTACTACAACGAATGTGTAAGCTTAGAAATAATGGAACTCCTACGCTTTTAAAGATATTTCAAAGCGAACACTTCTATTGTTTAGAAAGAAAACGAAGAAAATTGTATGAAATACCAGTCTAATGCCTCTGACAGAATTGTAATGATGGTTTATGATATATAGAAAATATGTCAAAAGAGGCTGTATTATTTTAAGTTTTTTGTGCATTTTTATTTGTTATGTCATTGTTTGTCAAAATCTAAGTTTTTCTCGTAACACGTAAATTTCTGTTTTAATTGTTAATAATAAATTGTTTATTCTATTTAAAGTTTTATTTGAGTTTTCATCATTCGTAAAAACAAGCGGCTCTTTCTACAAAAGATGTATTAACTTCATCGGCCAACTGTTTATAATTTAGCTTTAAATGTTTCGATACTTGTAACGAGAGTTTCTCGGAATTATTACGGGAATCAATGATGACTTTTATAAGGGCTTTATTTTATAATTCAACATTGATGTTTCTTCATTTATTTATTGGTTATAAATGAATATGTTCAAACTCACAAATCTGGGTATTAGTTTAGAAACGTCATAACAAAGTCTAGTATTTTGGGATTTGTGATCAGATAATTAAACATAATCAACAAAAATTTACGCCATTCTGATAACCTTGCATTCGGTCAAGGTTATCGTGCTTATGCGATATGAAGATGATAAATGAATACCAATATAAGTTAAGAAATATTTACAATTTGAAAAAATGTATTTCTAATGTACATATTACATTAAAAAAAACTTCTAATTCCTAAAAAAGACGTACGTAAGAGCAAGATGGATGGAGAGCAGAGCAGGATAGAAAAGGTTTCTTATGTTATACTGCTGTAATATTAGTATGAGTAGAAACCATGTCTTGTAAAGATTTCAATATTAGTTTATTTTTTTGCACTGAAAAAAATTTAAAAAAATCCTTTAGAAATAGACTCTATCTTTTTTTCATTTAAGACGACGACAAACGATAAACAGTATTGACCATATGTATTATATAAATCGTAATATATTAAAGTCACTTTCAAATAATTTATTTTATACGATATTTTTTATTTTAGCTATATTTGATACGATAGGCAGTGACGCTTAATATGACTGACTGACCTGTACGGCGCTGGTTGACGATGTTGTAACGAGCTTTAAAAAACAGCCAGGCGGTTGTATCTCGTCTTCTTCAACAATTTCAGATGAGAACGACGAGCGCGACACGAGTATGACCTACGTTTAACAATTTTTTGGTTGATGTTTATGAGACTACGTGGAACCGTGTCTGCTGATTCTCAGTTCACAGCGTGAGAGTTGATAACGAAGTAATGGAATGTCAATGGGTCTACGGTTTTAGGGATAGGAATTGGATAGGCACAAAAAATATTGAAAAATTTATGACCCTCGAATAAATTTAAAAATACATACGTTTCATTCTACGCAAAAACTCACGTGGAATCGTGAATGTAATGAAAAACAATATAATGACGCACCAGCTCAAGTGATCTATTGAGCAAAAAACGCTTAAATTACAGGTATAATCGTCAAAGTGAGTAGTGAGAAAAAGACTAGTCTGACAGAAAATGGGATTTTCATTGTGATTCGAAAGAGTTTAGGTATTTTGACTATTTTCGCCCGTATGGTAGGCTCAATTATTTTATATTTTTGAAGCATTTATATTGCGTCTCTCTTACATCTTTCACAGAACCAACTATTCTTACATTAGCTATTTTTTTCTTTTCATCTTACACACTTATCACTCTTTATCTCTTTTCATACAGATATTTGATCTAAATTACGTAAATTAGATTTTAACCTTAAAGAGGTCTTGAACTTAGTAAGATTTGGAAAGTTTTTATTGAAGTAAAACACATATTTCTTTTCAGCTAAACATATATTTTTTTGGACAATTTACTCGTGAATTCAACTTATTCGTGTTGTCATATCGCAAACTATATATTACTTCTAGGAATTGTGGATAATTCCTACATAATTCCCTCCTTTCTTCCCCTTGTTGCTATCGAGTCCAACTGTCTACCTGGTCGACATATTTATTCTCACTTCTAGGAAGATTATTATTTATTTGTTGGTATTATATTCATATAAAAATATATTTTGTGAGATATGTTTATCTTTTAATTTGGAGACAGCTTATATGGGCGCTTATTAACTAAAGTGTTTATTACGCTCTTTGATATTACGGTTATCATAAAAACATAATAAAACGCAACGTTTAAAATACAAAAATTCCACGGAATTATTCTCGAAATTTTGTTTGACAAAGGTACTTATGATATTTCAAAGTGCTCGCGATATGAACTCAGTTGAACAATGAGTGTAACCCGCACGAGAAATGCTTTTAATACGTTTTAACTTATGCCGTTACAGAATACGCTTTTTAAGAAGTATTAGGTGGATTTAAAGATTTAATTTCTTGTGTTCTCGTACACAGAACGACGGTATTTTGAACACGATAATTGGGTCAGAATAGAAGAATATGTTATGGAAAATTGTAAAAAAGAATATGTTACACCAAATTTTGGTAATATCGTATTTTTATCGTATTTACTTTTCATATCAATGTCTATGTTTCTCCCAGTCATTATCCCTATTGTCAAAATAGAGATGACATCTTGGTAAAAAAGAGAAGTTCTGTTAACTTAAGTCCGTCAGTTACATATTAGAATTAAAATACGTATCATTTTGCTTTAATTTAATGAGAAATGGTTTAGATAATACGCATTAAAGTTGAGGAGTGAGGGCACGCTACATCACAACTATGTAAAAAATAAACAAAGGTGTGATGTCATACGCAATTTCAACTCTATGCATTGCTATAATATTTTAATGACGGAAAAAATGCGTGTTTAATATTGTTTGATAGTCTACCCGAAGGACAGACAAACAAAAGTCTTTATCAAATGAAATGATATAAAAATATCACCAGGGAGTCGTTTAGTGGGATAAAAAATAGCCGGTATAATATATTAATTCACTATTATCCGTATATTAAATTTCATCAAAATCCATATAGATATGTTTACATGAAAGGGAAACAAATATCCGTCCTGAACTTTCGCATTTATAATATTATCTAGACAGAAAAAATATAGACGTCTTTCTATGGCTACATGTTTATAAAGTACCATAATTTAGTCGGGCACCTGGAACTGGTGACTCTTTGTTTGATTTTTCTTTATGATAAATACTAATAAAGCATTGTGAATGCAAAATTTATCAAATATAATAATGTACTATCTTGTTTGTGCTTTTGTGAGGTCAATAAATGTTTCTTCTTCTTCATCATTCCCCTTCCAATCAGAAAAACTGATAAAATTTAAACGTGAAACAATACTGGAACTTATATAATCCGTAATAAAGCAGAGCTTTCAAATGAAAGTTGCTATATTTTTTACCCGACCACGGCAACGCGAAAAGAAGGGTTATGATTTTAGCCGGTATGTATGTAAGAATGTTCATCTGAAACTGTCCGCTTGCTATAATAGGCTGTGACGTTACATTAAATTGGTGACAGCGCCCTCTGGAGTAAAAGACTAAAAAATATATATAATTCAATCATTCCATGTAGTACATCAAATGAATTTTAAATATATATATTGATAGCTTTTGATTTCGGTTACATGTACCTGAAAATAAACTGAATAAAATAATAATTTCAATCACTAAAATCCAACTACAGCTAATTCATGCTCTAAAAAGTCTTAAACTTTTACCATATTTTTTTTACGTTATTTTTGTCCTTCTTTAGGAATACTCGGAAGACTATTCCATATTTGCTTATTTTGTTTCTACTCAAGTCTACTAACTATTTCTACTGAAAAAAAATACATAATATACAACGAGGTTTCATTATGACTTGAAAAAAAGCGACAAAACCACAATTTCCTATTTAAAAATACTAAAACAGTTAATGCAAAGTAAGACGTGATACCATAGAATACTAAAAGCATTTAACTTGTATATTACCTTTTATCCAATATATGACTAACCCATGTAGGCAAAAAGCAAATTCTCTAATATATCCTAGTTGAATTAATTCCCTGACTCCTATGAGGAGTGTTAATGGCTACACCATTAGTTTCGGGTGATTTCAGGGATCCTTTGTGCGGACCCTTCGGTTATTACGGTGGAGGTCCGATAATAATAATTATGCTGACTTTAATTTTTCCATAAATTAAATTACGTTTCAACGTTATATTAAAGCGAAATTATATTACTTTTAAAGTAAGCACTCTTTCTACATAATTAAGTAGATAGGGATGAAATGTATTAAAAAGAATTATTGATATCGTGATATCGTTATCACCCACCAATTAGTAACAGCATCTATTTAGGGAAACTATTCATTCAGTATACACCAAATCAATTGGATGAGTAGTTTAAATTTTACTACGATGTTTTTTAGAAAAGAAAAAATATATCCTGCCGATTGTCTAAATATTATTACATGATTATTTTTTTTTCATTTACATTACAGGATTAAATGTAGTTACATTATTTGAGTTTTTACAGCATTTGTACACCACGAAGGT